AAAAAAAAAAAAAAAAAAAATCAGGCATGTAAACATTGTGAAAGTAAGATACTTTTCTAAAAAAATCACTAGGTTTTGCAGTTCATTTTATTAGCATTTATTCTCTCTCGCATAAACTAGGAAAGCAGGATGTCAGCCACATCTCTAATATTTCAGAATGATATAAAGAACTTTTGGGAACCTTGACACTGTGCATCCTGCATGTTTAGAGCCAATCTGGTCTACATAGTGAGATCTGTCTCAACAAACAAAAAATAAGAACTTGTTTTTGTTGCCAGTAATTAAGACAAAACTAAGAGAGGAGAAAACTGGATGACATTTAACTATAGGAAAAAACTTTACAAATAAGTTTAAGAGTAGTTATCAGTTGAGCTAACAAAGTTTTACATACAGATACAACAAAAGACAATTCAAAGTTCTACTACAATTCTTAAGTTCCTTTCAAAAAAGAAAAAACTCTCAATTTAAGACCTAAGAACTCAACTGTCATTTTTTTAGAATCAAAGAAAAAAAAGCTGTAAAACTTATCTTACTTCTACAACCCTTCCATTTCCTTCTTAAACCGTGTTATCTACATTAGCGAATTCCACTTTTAATATCAGCACTATGAGATTTTCCTTACTATCATTCAAAAGATACGACTTCAAATTGTGCCTAAATACATGGTTCCATTTTTTAGACTGATGCTTTATTAGACAATACTACAAAAATCTATCAATAATGGAAAGGCATCAAGAAGGCAGTGAGAATCTGCTAACTCAACAGAGTAGCACACCAATTTTAAAGAAAAGTGACATGCTACAAAAAATGCAAAAGTAACTTGCTGCTCATTTCATGTACATAGTTTCCTTCCATGTAACTACTATTTCCTAAAAGTTGCACTGAATCAAGACTTCATTTTTCAATCACATCATGATTCCTCACACTTTTTTCCCCCAATGGACACTTGTTCTCTATAGTCAAAAACCCAAAATCTGATGCTCGAAGGTTCGATGAAATGTGATTAGCAAGCCCAACTTACTGAACACGAACGAAATAGAAACTGTCAACAAAAGGAGTTTAAAAGCAGAAAGCCTCTGCTTTTCAACTCACAATAGAGTTTTGTCCTTTGGACAACACTGCGTTTTGTTGTTGGAGCTACAGGGACGGGTAGGCAATCTGCAGTAACTATTCCAACAGCTTCAAGCAAGCTACATGCTAGAACTGAAGTAGCAGCAGTCAGGTCCCAAACAGCAAAGACACAAAAGAAACGTAAGCAGAAGCCTAACCATTAGAAAATAAGTCCCATCAGCACCTCTTAGGAGAAAGAGGTCCCCTCCCCCACCTTTAAATAGGCACTTAAGACTGCCAAGGAGATCCATTTCTTTATTAACCGGTGCCCACTTGGGGCAACCATACACCAAGCGCCTCTTAGGCCTACCCCTTAACCCCTTCCAGAAGTGCTCCGGAGAGATCGGAGACAAGGAGAACCTTCGCAGGGGGCCCAATTCTTCGTGGCTCCTCTTCTCCCATGGCCCTTCACACCCCGTATAGGCGATCCTCTGGCCAGAGAAAGGACACAGGGTCCAGGGAACTGCAGGCACAGCCCGCAAGAGAAGGCTTAGGCGGCCATGGGCCTCCGCCATGGCAGGACCCGGGAAGTACCGCCCCCAGCGCGCCTCCCTGCACCCGGCTAGCAGGCGAACGTCTTCTCCGACAGCTCTCTCTATCCCCAGCAAAGGCACCGGAGGAGACAGGGCCAGCAGGCAAAGGGCCGGGCTGCGCACCAGGCCCAGGCTTGCCCCCCG